GGAGGTCCTGGTTCCCTGCAGGACCCCCCCAGTAGACAGGGGCTGATGGACTGAGCAAGCCCGGCTCAGTCCCAGCTCGTGCCGGGTCTGGGAGCTATCCCCGCTGCAGCTCTGCACTTACCGGGCCCGTGGGCAGCCTGGCTCAGTCCCAGCTCGTGCCGGGTCTGGGAGCTGGGTGGGCCACCTGGCTCAGTCCCAGCTCGTGCCGGGTCTGGGAGCTGGGTGGCCACCTGGCTCAGTCCCAGTGTTATGCCTCAATGAAGCACACGAGATCTTTTCTGGGGAAAAGACAGAGCACCGCAGTGATTGAAAATACAACAGTTGCATATGCTTTGCAGTCATTCACGCTCCCTCTCCCACCAGCCCATGTTCTAGTCACCAGTCCAGAGTCTGTGTCCGTCTAGTGCCAGTTAGGTGGATCACAGAGGGGAGCAGGGCCTTTGGCGGTCGTTGGACCCGGCGCTCCTCTGAAGACGAACCCAGAGTCCATAGCGAGGCACCCTGCCTTTGTAACCCTTTTCTCTGTTGGAGTCTGTGGGTTCCGCTGTGTCAGTCTGTGACCGGCGTGTTATCTTGTTGATGTCAGTCGTTCCCAAAACATTTCCAGAGCTCGTCCTGTAATCAGTCGTCTTTAGGGGTGCTTGCTTCGGTCTGCCACCCCGATGGCTCCTTGGCCATGGGCACGCACTGGTGGTAACTGATGGTTCTTCTGACGCCGATCAGTCTGTTTTCACCCACGCTCCCCCCTCCTCCTTTGGCCATCTGGTCCTGAGCAATAACCTTCGCCCCTTTATCTCGACACACATACCGCTTCCACACACCGTCTTTTACAAGGCCTTTCGAAGAAAAGCAAAACATTAGTAGCTCCTGTTGGGCAAAGCAAGAGGCATTGTAAATCAAACAATTAAAACTTCAGCCTTCAGCCCCCCTCTAGCCTCATTACATAGACACAATACCAGACTGTTTCCTTGTTACTGAACTTTCAAAGCAAAGGGCTGACTGAGGGGCTTGGTTTAAGTGCGCTAACGTTACCGTGCACGGCTACGTTATGAAACCGAAAAATCCCAGTAGAAAAAGGATAAAACTTTCAGTCCTAGCACCAGCTCGTGCCAGCAGCCTTCAGCCCCCCTCTAGCCTCATTACATAGACACAATACCAGACTGTTTCCTTGTTACTGAACTTTCAAAGCAAAGGGCTGACTGAGGGGCTTGGTTTAAGTGCGCTAACGTTACCGTGCACGGCTACGTTATGAAACCGAAAAATCCCAGTAGAAAAAGGATAAAACTTTCAGTCCTAGCACCAGCTCGTGCCAGAAAAACGTACTGGCGGGGCGGGGGGTAGTCGATAGCATCAACCGATCAGCGCTTGCCAGTCGTTCGTCGACTCCACTCTCGTGGCCCTACGCCCAGGGGTCGCCAGGCGGCTTGGGGCTGGGAGGTGCTCGTGGCGTTACTGTCGTGCACGTTCTTTGCTGTGTCTGCTGGGGGAGGTGTGCAAACGGCTGGTGCGTTTCCCTGTGCCGTGTGGCGCTTGGCAGGACTGCCGAGGTGTCCCGGGGAGGGGTGGAAACTCGCTTACTTGGGTAACCGGTTAAGGGGCTTGGGGGGCCACTCCCGCCCCCCGGGGGGAAACGCCCCCCGCCTGCCAGGCCG